AATTTTTTATTGGCCCTTTGAACGGCATTCCGCTGAGATGCACAACGTTGATTCTTCACATATCCCGAGAAATGACACGCACGCACGCACGCACCTGCATTCCCGTATCCTGCCGCCCACACGCATGTTTGTGGGCGCGCACGCACTCGTCGTCATCGCTATCGTTGTCATTTTCATCTTCGTCGTTATCATCATCTTCATCTTCATCTTCTTCATCTTCATCTTCATCCATCTCATCTTCATTCATCTTCATCATCTTGTCTTCATCATCATCATCAATCATATCATACATCTTCATCATCTCTCATCTTTATCTTCATCTTCTTCATGTTTATCATCATCAATCATGTCATCATCTTAATTTTTATCATGATTGTCTGTTCCTCCTCCTCCATTCTACTCGCATTTTTATCACTGCATTTTGCGTTAATTCTAAATAAAATTACAAAAAAAGAAAAAAAAAAGATGGAGCAAATACTCATAGAAAAAAAATAAAAAGAAAAGATCGGCGAGCATAGAAAACAAAAAACAAAAAAGAAAAGAAAAGAAAAAAAGGAGGAAAAAGAAGAATGGACCGAAATAACAAAAGAAACAATAAAAAGGGAAGAAGGAAGGTAATAAAAAAGGGTAAATTGTGTTTGCGTGCCGGCTAGGCTGAGGTTATTAGAGAAGCGGGGGAGGGTAAGGGAGGGAAGGGGGAGGGGAAGCTAGGGGAATGGAGGGGAGAAGGGGGGGGGGAGGGAAAGGGGAAGCGGAGGGGAGGGAAAGGGGGAGGAGGGGGGAAGGAAGGGGACAGGGGAGGGGAGAGGGAGGAAGGGGGGAGGGGAAGGGGAGGGAGGGAGGAAAGGGAGGGATTGAGAGGTGGAGGGAGAGTAATGGATAAGGAAGAGAGGGGTAGGAGGAGAGAGAGAGGGAGGGATAAATGGATAAAGAGGTAAGGAAGAGGGTAGGAGAGAAGAAGGGAAGTAGAGAAGGGAAATACCGAATGCAATAGACAACATAAAGTGAATTTGACATAAAAATACATGAAATAAACAAACAAAAACAAACAAGAAAATAAAAGGACATGAAGTAGAAATGAAAAAAGTCAGAGAAACAAGAGGAGAAAAGGGGAATAGAGAGAACAATATAAAGAGGGGGAGGAGGGAAAAGAGGGGAGAGGAAAATTTGAAAGAGGAGAGGAAGGAGGAAAAGGGAAAGAATATAGAAAGAGGGAGAGAAAGCGAAAAAGAGAAAAACAATAGAAAGAGAATGAAGACAAAAGAGGGAAAAAAAAGAAAATTGGAAAAGAGAAAATAGAAAGAGAGGAAGAAAAGAGGAAATAGAGAAAACATAAACAGAAGAAGAAATAGGGGAAAAAAACGAAAACAAACGAAAACAATATATATATATATATATTTTTTTACTCTCCGTCTCCCCTCTTTTTATCTAGGAAATGAAAAGGTTATATGGCCTGAAATTGACCTGCGGTTTGGGGTTATTTTTTGATGTTCGTTGAGGGGAAATTTTGTGCTTTTTTTTTTTTTTTTTTTTTTTTTTTTTTTTTTCTTTCGCCTTTTTTTGCCGTTCGAATTGGAGAGGAAGGGGTGAAGGAAGAGGAGGAGAAGGAGAAGGAGAAGGAGAAGGAGAAGGAGAAGGAGAAGGAGAAGGAGAAGGAGAAGGAGAAGGAGAAGGGAGAAAGGAAGAAGGAGAAGGAGAAGGAGAAGGAGAGAAAAGAAAGAAGAAGAAGAAGAAGAAGAAGAAGAAGAAGAAGAAGAAGAAGAAGAAGAAGAAGAAGAAGAAGATTAAGAAGAAAAAGGAGGCCAAGGAGGAGAAGGAGAAGAGAGAGGAATAATAATAATAATAAGAAGAAATAGGTAATATAAACGACAAAGGCAGAAAGGGGAGAGAAAATAGGAGAAGGAGGTGATAAAGAGAAGAAAGATGTAATCAGTAACAGGGAGAGAAGAAGATAGGAGGAATAGGAAGAAGAAGAAGGAAAAGAAATGTAACAATAATGATAACGATAACGATAAACAGACTGATAAAGTCAAAATATTCACCGTAAAAATAGACTAGTAAAAAAAAGTGATTTAAGAAATCTTTGAAGAAGAAGAAAGGGTTTAAGAAAAAAAGGGGAAAAATAAGAAAAAGAAGAGAAGAAAGAAAAAGGAAAGATAAACTTTTTAATAAGTAGAATATTACGAAGGGTGGTGAAAAAAAAGATTAAGAAAGTGGGAAACTTTGTATAGAAAACGGGAAACCGGAAAGAATCTCCATTTTCAAAGAATATAATGTTAATGAAAAAAATGATTAAAAAAATAGGAACATTGTTCTTTGCTGATATTTGTGTACATGTGAGTACGTTTGTGTGTGTGTGTGTCTGCGTGTGCGTTTGCTTATTTCGTGTCCGTGTGTACGTTTGTCTGTGATTGTCTGCGCCTCTTCATGTGTTGTATGTATGTATGTGTGTGTCTGTGTTTATGTATGAATCTGCGCAGTTGCATGTGTGTGTTTTGTTTGTTTGCTTTGTGTTTTTTGTGTGTGAATGCCTGTACGTATGTATGTACGTACATATTCATATATATCTCTGCGCTTGCTTGTATGTCTATGTACGTGTGTGTGTGTGTGTGTGCGTGTATAAGCGTGCATATGCGTGTGTGCGTGTGCGAGCGCCTCTCCCCCCCGGGGTCGACACGAAAGCTGGAACGAGCGGAGCAGGATCCGGCAGCCCCCCCCCCCCCCCCCCCCCCGTCGATCGTCTCCCCGGTGGCAATCGCCGCCCCCATTAGTGGTTGCCGGGTCTGGTTGCCGGCGAGGAAGGGGGGAGGGGAGAGGGAGGGGGGTGGGGAAGGGGAGAAGGGGGAGGGGGTTGGAGAAGGGGAGGGGGTTGGGGGAGAGGGGGTTGGAGAAGGGGAAGGGGTTGCAGAAGGGGGGAGAGGGGGGTTCGGAGAAGGGGGGGAGGGGTTGGGAGAAGGGGGGAGGGGTTGAGGAAGAGGGGAGGGTTGGGGAAGGGGGGGAGGAGCTTGTGGTTCCGCAAAGGTGGGTAATACGCGGAGCACTTTTTTTTTTAGGGGGTGGGGGGTCAGTGATGAGATGGTGTTATTTTTTTTTCTTCTTCCTTTGCTTTTCCTTATACGTTTCACTTACATTCCACTTACGATCCACTTACATTCGACTCACGTTCCACTTACATTCCACTTACGTTCCACTCACGTTCTACATACGTCCCACTTACGTTCCACTTACATTCGACTCACGTTCCACATGCGTTCCACATGAGTTGGTGGCGCTGCTAACGAATGCCTTGAAGATAAGGTCACCATCACCATTAATCATCATCATCATCATCATCTATTTCGTTGTGGTTATCGTAATGGCTATTTATGTTGTCGTTATGTGAGGAATTTAATATTGAATGAATTTTAAAGTAGATTGCGGATACCGATCATGTCCCGCCCCCCCCTCCCCTCCCTCGTGTGTGTGTGTGTGTGTGTTTATGTGTATGTGTGTGTGTTTATTTGTGTGTGTGTATTTATTTATGTGTTTATTTTTTATGTGTGTGTGCGGGCGTGTGTGCGTTTATTTATGTGTTTTTATTTTGTGTGTATGCGTGCGGGCGTGTGTGTATTGATTTATGTGTGTTTATTTTCTGTGTGTGTGTATGCCTGCGGGCGTGTGTGTATTGATTTATGTGTGTTTATTTTGTGTGTGTGCGGGCGTGTGTGTGTTTATTTTGTGTGTATGTGTGTGTGTGTGAATGCAAAATAGGAAGAGACGAGTATAATGTCAGTTCGATCATTCTGCTGGAATTTCCCCAAGTCATTTCTAGTCTCTTCGGTTCATGTTTATGCCGCGTCACTCATGTCATTTGAGCATTTCGCTTTCCACTTTCCAGGTGACGAGGAGTAACTTGCGTGGTCATGTCGTTCATTTTTTTTTTTTTTTTTATAACGAGTTGTGTTTTGTATTGTTTTTTGTATCATGTTTTTTGTATCATTTTTTTTTTTATCATGAGTATTTTTGCCTTGGCCGATGAAGGAGAGTATTCTATGTAGTCCTCATGTTACCTTACCACATATGCTGAGTATATCGCATGCCGCATTATGTTCCGAATGTACTTTATATGGTCATTTCATTTCATTTTCTTGTCCGTTATTATGCTAATTATCTGGCTCTTCTAACGTGCGCCCCTTCCTTCTGCAGTATGACGGCACGCAGGAGATCCTGGTGGAGCCGGTGATCCACCGGAACTGCAGCGCGGGCGGCGGCCCCGAGTACCGGTGGCGCGTGCTGGACGAGGACGGCCACGAGGCGCTCCTCACCAGCTACCACGCCTTCTTCTCGCCCACGCTCGTCATCCACCCCTTCTACGACAACCACTGGACCCGCCTGCTCACCCCCTCCGCCGGGAACGCGTCCGACGTGCGCCCCTCGGCCCTGGACCCCCTGTCGGCGTCCTCCAACAGCCCCTTCGCCGTCCTGGCCGACGGGACGTACACCGCCGAGCTCACGGTCGCCGAGAAGGGCACGATCGTGAGCGCGTCGGCCAACGCCTCCTTCTCCGTGGTGGCCATCAGGCTCAAGTGAGTGCCTTCTCTGTCGTTCTCCCGTTTATTTTTGGATTGCTCTGCGTTCGTTTTCTCTTATTTTGGGCGGTTGTTTTTTCCCTTGTCATTTCATTTCCCCCGTCCTTTGTCGGCGGCGGTGCCCTAACGTCCGCCCTTGTGCCCCGCAGAGTGGCCTTCACGGACGGGTCGGCGCGCGAGGTGGACGCCCGCTCCAACATCACGCTGCGGGTGGAGGTCACGTCGCCCACGCCCGACTACGACATCGAGTGGGGCTGCCACCTGCTCTACAGCGCCGGCGAGAGGTGCTTCCCCGAGGCCGACCCCTGGAGCAAGTACACCAACACCTCCGACCACGCCGACACCCGTCTCTTCGACATCCTGCACCGCTGGTGGGAGCTGATCCACGGCCACGGTGGCGGCGGCAACCGCAGCGCCGGCGACGGACGGCGA